CTGGTCTAGCCGAATTTGTAAGGTAGAACTGGGGTCATGATAATGGGGGAGGAAACATTAAAGAACTAGAGGGATGTTGTATATTTCTTTGGTGCTATACTGCAAGCACCCTAGCTGGCTCGTCCCTTCCTTGTGACGCTTTTGTGAAGGGAGGTCCAATTGTCTACAAATTGGTTTGGGGTCTCCACTCTGTGCCCCCTCATTTGCATCAATATGATTGTTTGTTTGGGGTCTTCTGATGCCTGAACTTAATCCTATGGACACCTCATGATCACACAGGTTGGTGTGCTTCTGCCATATGGACTTTATTGTTTCCCAGGCAGATGCCCACTTGTTTATTTTCAAGCCTTTAAGACCCCAGATGCTATATTTTTTGATAGCCGGGCACCATCAGCTTTCTTCACCACATTTGCTTATGCACCCATTTGTCTTCAGCAATTGTGTCAGGGAAGGTGAGCATCACAGAAGGCCAGGTTATTAGAAAAAAATGTTCTTGCACTGAGGGAGTACTTGAGTAGAGGCCCAATGTCCGTCTGCTACCTTAATATTTAACTATACATATATGTACATAGACTTATATCCCTATCATTATTTATCAATATATTTACATGTGCATGTGCCTGTATTTATGCCTCTATAGATGTCTTTTGCCTCCTAGTTCTTTCCTCTATTTCCCAAGGAGCACTCTTCCTTTAATTCCTCCAAGAGAAATTTGTGGGTTCTTTTGGCAATCCATGGTATTGTCAGTATTCTGCACAAACACCATTATTCCCCTATGTAAGCTCTTCTTCAAGGAGTCCTGGTGGTGTCATGGCGAACTGTTGGTCTGCTAGCCTCAAGGTCAGCAATTCAAAACCATCAGAAAACTCCAAGGGAGAAAGATAGGTTTTTTATTTGACAGAGTCTATGTAGTAAAAGAATGTTTGGAAATATTGTGTTTGGAAGAATGTCTGGGAACAATTCTACTTGATGTGACTGAAAAATTGAAAGATATTATATATGCACTAAATACCAACTCATAAAAAAAATAAGCAGCGTTACAGAGTTGGAAACCCACAGGGCAGTTCTACCCTGTCCTGCAGGGTCGCGTGAGTCAGAGTTGACTCCGTGGCAGTGAGTTGAGTTGAGCTCATTTTCTCCCTTTCTTCTTGATTCTTCAGCTTGCACATAAATATAAGGTCATTGAAATTACTTACCATGGCTTGGGCCAAGCCACCTCAGTTAACCACGTGATATCTTTGCTTTGTAAGACAGTTTTTAAAGAGCTCTTTAGACGCACATTTTCTAAAGGCAGTACATCCTTTAATTTCCTGACTGAGGCTTCCATGATCATTGAATATTGATTCCAGTAAAATGAAATATTCAACAGTTTCAATGTTTTCTCCACTTATGGTGTTGCTTAGTGGTACAACAGTGAGAGTTTCTGTTGTTTTAAAAGTGAGGTATCATCTATCTATGTATCTATACATAGTCAGGGATTTGAGTCTCATCTCAGTTAAATTCAGTGAGGAGGGAGATATGGATCTATTATGTTTTAATGTGTTAGTAAGAACAGGTAAGTGATCGTGGAAAGACTGGAAGGAGTGGGATCCAAGCTGCAGGTGAGAGAGATTTTAGGAGGACTGGTGTCGGAGTGGTTCCTCATTTTGCTGCGATCTGCATGTTTGCCAGTCTGAAACCATTAACCATTCTGCAGGAGAAAGACGGGGCTTCCTACTTCCATAAAGAGTTACAGTCTCAAACCCACAGGGGCAGTTTTATGCGGTCCTACAGGGTCGCTAGGAGTCATGTTGAGTCCTGGGCAGTGAGTTTGTTTGTTTGTTTGTTTGTTTGTGTTTACACCTTTGTCTCACCTACTTTGGGCACATTATCAGAAGAGACCAATCTTTGGAAAAGGGCACCTTGCTTGGTAGAAGGCAAACAGAAGTTGGAAGACCCTACAGATTGACCCAGGGACTGCAAGGACAGGCTCAAACCTAACGACGTGCCTGAGGCTAGAACAAGACCCAGTAGTGTTTCCTTATGTGGTCTTATTGTCACTATGACACAGAACCAACGCCAAGACACCTAGCAACAACAAACACATCTCCTTTCCTGAAACAGGTGCATTGTAAAGTTGGATTGACTTTCTCGGGCCAGGAGTCAATCTCTGCCAGGTTTTTAGTTTGGTTTGCTTTTCTGTCTTCTCCCTTTCTAGCTGAGCTCTTTCCTTTTTACAAGAGTGCGTTGGGACTAGGTGAAGGGGGATTGGTGCCCTCTCAAAGCAGGGGTGAGAAACAAGGAGCACATCAACTCCATCTTCTGTTCCTGGCAGGTTTGTGAGGTGTGAGTGAGGAAACAGCTACCACATGAGTAGAGTCTGGAAGAAACAGGCTCGCCAGGTTTGAGTTAAGGAACAGGGGGCGGGGGGAGCGGGGCAGTCAGAAAAGAAGTGGGAAGTATAGGAGAGTTTGAGGTCCTGGAGTGCACAATGGGAGATTTGGGTGGATTGTGATGTCAGAGAAAAAAATGTATTGATATAATCAAGAAGATCATGTTTAACTGTAGATCATGCACCTTCAGAGTTTATTTAGCTGAAAGGTGAAGGTGAACAGTTATTTCAGATTACGGTAAAAGGAAGATCTTTTGGTCAAGGAATTTGGTTACAAACAGAAAGAAGATTGAATTCAAATTCCACTTAGCTTTCTTCATCCTGTCTAATCTAGCTTCTTACCTATCTGAAATTATTTTCATGTTATCCCTTAACATAAATTCAAGTCAGATTGACTTCTGTACAAAATCTATTTTAAAATTCCCCTTTCTTAGCTATTGTCCATGTTATTTCTCCAGCCCATTTCTACTTATATAAGTACACCTCTTCATCTAAGTAAGACCCAGTTAAATTTACCTCTCAGCTTTCCCTTTCCTTTATAGTAATTTTCTGACTCATATTGCTTGTAAAGCAATTTAGAAAAAAATAAGAAATTATAAATTCCAAATAAAATATCCCAAGATATCATCACAGAGATATATCATACTGTATGTATTATTTTAGCATGAATATATTTAAAATTCATATTATAAATTGTTTCCACCTAGCTGAATATTTATAAGACAAATTTAAATTAATGAATAATACTACATGGTAGAGATGTAACACAATTTCCTTTGCCCATTCTCCAAATATCAGCTAATTTAGACTACCTTTTACATGAGTTCTTGTATACAAAATAAATAACTTCTTTAGGGCAAAACTCCTTTAAGTTGAATTAACAATTCAAAGGGTATGGATGTTAAACTCTCTTGCTATATAGTGGAAGATTAATTTCCAGAAAGACCATAGCAAACGATCCCCTATAAGTAGTATTTTAGAGTATGTAAGGCATAACCTTATCACCAACATAGAGTATTTATTAAATTCTAATTTTCCTGAAAAATGACTTCTTACTGGGGTTTTTAACTGCATATATTTGATTAGTAAGTAAATTAGGTTATTTTTTGTAATACACTGTAGTCCCTACATTTCCCCTTTAATTTGTTCAGCCATGACTTTTCCCATAAAATGATTATTTTGTGTTTAAAATACAAAATTCAGTTTTTAAATTTAACAATAAAGTTATTCTCATGTTAACTGTATTATTTTCACTCCATAGTTTTCTCAATGACATATTTTGCATCTAGAATTATTTTTATAGATCTCTCTATTCTCAGAAGTATTTGTAACATTTACGTAGCCCTACCCCACAATTATATTATTCCAGCCTTGTGTTGTTCCTTAATAGGTTTCTTTTTTCTAATGTGAATCTTTTATCACCAGAAATAGTATCTTGTGAACAGGATCAAGAAAATATGTCAGTCATTCTTCATAGGTTAGTAATTAATATTGCATTAGCTGGATTCTGATTTGCTTTTGAGATGCTCTCTATGCATATGCCCACAAAATATATAGCAAATTAACTCATGATATCAAATTAACAAATCACCATGATGTACTAGAAAAAATATGTGTGTTTCCATCTTTAGGAAATAGATTTTTTTTTTCAATAAATATCATCATTATACTTCCAGTGAAATGTTTGGAGAGAAATCTCTTGAGCATACTAAAATGATTTCATAGGTTTTTAAGGTTGTGAATTAGAGAAACATTCTCTTTTGAGCCTGTTACTTGAATCAGAGTTAAGTGTAAGGTAGTGTAAACCATCTGATAAATGATTAATTTCATGTCACGCAATCCTACTTTCCCAACAAGAAGGCCTTGGGAAGAATTAAACGTCCCCGGCCTCAAGCCAGGGGTAACTCAACCGTCCGGTGGGCAATCCAAACAATCTGGAGGTTAAGACATTCCTTGATCACGGATAGATCTGATTGCTACTCAGCCCTGGAATTCTTTATAAAATTCCAGAACATGGGCTAGAAATGGACTTGGGGAATCCAATAAACTTGCGAGTCTTGGCAGCCATCCAAGTTAAATTTATAGACTGGAAAAAAAATAATATATGGGCTTTCCATTGTTCTCTTTTTAACCTTTCTGGGGTTTCTTTTGTGTGTTTTTGAGTGTGTGAGTGCAGATTTATCATTTTGCTGACACTGGAGTGGAAATAACCAATGAGGGAATCCGGCTCAAGAGTTTTCATGCTGGATCTTCCCTAGTCTTTCAGAACTTTGACCCAAACCTGCACCAACAGTGTATTTCCTCTCCCTGTGTAGGATGCTTATGTCATACCGTTAGTTCATCCTTGAAAATGAATCATATTAGGACATCTGATGTGCACGTTTGCCAGCTAGGTACAACTCCCAAATCCCTGTTCTTACTCTGGCTCTGTGGGAACCTTCTTTCTGAGACAAGATCTGAGGAAATATGTGCGCATATCTAGTGTCTCTCTGCAGTCTATGAAACAAGCTCAGCAGTCTCCTAATGGGTTTTGGTGCGTGTTTTTTGTACCTGCTCTGTACATGGAGTTCCAAGCACTCCCTCCCCTCTCCTCCGTTCTGATCACTGAAAACCTATCTTCTTCTTACAGAATGGGTTTGCTGTTGTGAGGCCCCCAGGCCATCACGCTGAAGAATCTACGGCCATGTAAGTACCAGGGACTGTTGCCCATCTCCCAGCGCCACGGTTCCTGGCGGTCACCTGCCCCGTGAATGTCTCTGAAGCCTCTAATTGTTAGCAGATGGACTGAAAAATCTTGCGAGGTACTCCCAGAAGCAGATTTATGGCTTCAGAGATCATATAGCATTTAAAAAAATGCTCTGAACATTATTTATAATGGTTTTCCTGGCTGATTTGCTTTCTTATTTCTCTGTTCTTCTCTATTCCGCAGGGGGTTCTGCTTTTTTAATTCAGTTGCAATTACCGCCAAATACTTGAGAGACCAACTAAATATAAGCAAGATATTGATTGTAGATCTGGTATGTATTCCTGGCCAGAGCTGCATTTTCGGTGCCTCTAGATAAAAAGGAGTGAATTTGTGTTTCTCTGTCAGGCTGCCCTGCTTTTTAGCACTTGCAAACAACTGAAGGGTGCGTTTCCTTTGAATGTGGAAACTCATTAAAATCAGGATTGCAGTTCTGAAACCATAAACATTCACGTTTCACTTTCATGGTGTTAACTGCAATTTAATGAGAAGAAGGCGCAGATCAGGGCAACGTTTATGATCCTTAAATGCATTGATACTTCCACAGTTAAAATAAGCCAACAGAACTTGAGTTTACTTTTCCCTACAGAATATGGACTTGAACTCGTCAGATGTGCTGGAAAGAATGCTGTTGCTTCGGTTACCAAATTGGCCACTTCCCCTGGTTAGCAATCATGTTGCTTGTTGTGCAACAGTGGTATTATTAAAACAAGTCAGCGTGTCGTTCTTTTCTGAAAAGATCTCAGATCTTGGATGCCAGTTTGAGATGACTCCCTGCAGGAACCCGGGGCGATTAAAAGCCAGAGGCTTTAGATGGGTCTTGCATTTTAACATGATGCATTCTTAGAAAATAGAGTTATAATTTGCTTAACAAATGGTTTGTTTAAATGCGGATGACACTTGGCATGTTGTCTATAGTATATTCATGAATAATGAGCTGGAGATCTGCCCCATACAGAATGGACCAACTCAGGGAAGGGGCGAACAGGCTGAATGGTGATTTATGAGCCCCGTTGTCGGTTTGCCTCCAGTTCAGGAGGAGGTGTAAGAGGTTGTCTGACACAGCAGAGACAGGAAATGAACCCTGGCATCCACACCGAACTTGCTCCATCTGCACTTAATTAATTTTTGCAGGTGATAAAAGATTTAAAGGCAAAATATGTTAAAGGGTTTGGTTTTTTTTGAAGTGCAAGACTTAATAGCCTAAATCTTGTTCATATCTGCACTCATAATTAAATCTTATTGGGAAGTCATGGCCTCATGGGTCAGCCCTCCGGTTCCCTGATGCAGGCCCACTACAGGTTGCAAGCACAAACTGAGCCATCTGAAGAAGAAATACTTGGCTAAGTTAAAAGGAAGATAAGATGACCATTTCTAGAGCTTGGAATGGGTGCTGTTGAGACCCTGTAGTGTAGCTTGCTGGTGGGCAGTTTGGTGGGGATAATATTGAAGTCCATTTTTTATCCCACCACCCTCCCACCCCCAATGCATGCCTGCTTTCCAAACAAGCTTCAGTTTCATGTGCAGGTCATAGTTCACTATTAAAAGAAAAGTGTTGAAGTCCTAGATGCATGACAGGAGCAAGGTCTTAAAATTTTATAAAAATGAGGTTATCAGTACCTATTTTCCCATGTACGTACAAAACAGCATTGCAAATAGCTCATAATTACTGTTTTGGATGATTGATATGATATTGGCTTATGTTAAAAATATCATGTGACTTTCTGACTATGTTCCCAGTGCTGTAAATTTTAGGCTAGAAAGATCAAACCAACACTTGAAAAAGAAATAGCAGACCAAGATAAGGATGATAGAGAGAAAGTATTTTGTTCTCTAAATTTATAATTTTGTCAAGGTTATGCGGGAAGGGATTGGAGGACAGCATGTGTTCTATGCTTCAGAACCCTTTCGTGTCTACTCTCTGAGGAATCTCTTCCAACCACCATTTTATGGCTCTCTGAAGATAATCAATAACAGTTAAGAGCCCCCTTTGAAAGCACATTTGCAATATCCAAACACAAAAGTAATAAATTGTACAAAGCTAAAATGCCTCACTTGTGGTATGCGGCATTTTGTAACTGAGAGGATTTTGTGTAAAGTTTTGCTTTTGTACCTTCATATAAGGACAGCTGGAGAGAATGTGATATGATATATAAAATAAGCTAGTTGGTAGCGCTGAGGAGGTTCCTGCAAGCTTACTGGCCTTTGATTATGAATTTATTCCATTATCCAATCATAAAGGATATTTATTTCCCAGCAGACTGTAGCAGACGATACGTTTTAGTTTCACATTCTCTAAATATATGAAGTTCTACCCAAAGGGTTCCCTCTGAGATCACCTCACGCTCACATATACTTACTTACAAGTCTTCCAAATTCTGCAGCTGCAGCGCTACTTTGAGGAAATTCCCCTGTTTCATCCAGCTGCCGAGAAGGAAGTTTTCAAGTGCCACGTGGCGCTGAGACATCCGTTCTCCCAGCTGACAGGTCTACTCAAGCTAGCAAAGGAGAAGAGGTGAAGGTTCTTCAATCGCTCAAGAAATCCCCTCCTACATATCTGGTAGTGAGTGTGAACTAGCCCCATGGAATCTTGGACTGACAGAATGTGAATCTCTTCCATTGGCCAGCAGCTAATTTCACCATTTTTCTATGCCCAGGGAGGATGCCTGGGTGACACAAACCGTTTGCACTGGCCTGTTCACTGAAGCGTGGGACAGTTCAAATCCACCAAACAGTGCCACCGACGAACAGCCTAGTGATTATCTTCTGTAAAGATTACTTCCAAGAAAACCCTAGAGAATTCATTCAGTTCCACCTCTTAGGACATGAGGTCACCCTAAGAATTGGCTCCACAGCAGCAGGTTTTCCATTACTTAGTTAGTTAGTTAGTTAGTTAGTTAGTTAGTAAGTACACAGGGAACTGGAGTTCTAAGTCACCCTTGTATTTGGGACTGTGGCCAATGGAGAAGAGTTGAATATGTATTTTATTTTAGGCAGAAATGATTCCTTTTGTTCTATGAAGCTCACTCATTTCAATTTTCCTTCTGGGGTGATTCCAAAGGCATTCAGATCGTGAGGAAATGGAGCAGGTACAAGGTGCTTCTCAAATGAGAGGAGACTGACGGTCATGGCATTAACTTTGCCCTAAATGCAGTAGCCACTGCCATGATTCAGGCCACTCTTAAAGAATGAGAGTTTTGCTTGTTTGAAAAGAATATCTATTAGGCTTTGCAGAGAAAGGGAAAGTTGCTTCCATAGATATTTGGACAGAGTCATCTTGTTCAGGTCCTTTTTGAACTTTGCCACAAATTCCTTTACCAAATATTTATGAGTGATAACTTTAATCAGTAGAGTATATGACTCATTCAAAGCTATTTAATATAATTGGTTCTAAGCTCTTACATAAAGCCTATTTTTGCAACATTATTTTAATCACTAAAATATGAAAATAATTCTTCAGCACTTCCCAGCCTATCTTAGATTAAGGGTCCATTTGGAGGTTTTTAATGATTCCATTTGCTTAGTTTCTATATTTGTTTCTCAGAAATGTTTACTGATGTTAGTCTAGTATAATTTCTCATGAATACTTATGTTATTACTATGAAGAAATAATACTCAGAAGATCCCTGAGCAGAAACTACTTAGTAGGAATATTTTATAGTGAAGAAAGTTGAAACAAAATTTCTAAGGTTGTTGCCTAAAACAAAAAGCATACTCAGACTTATGTTTATTTCTAAGTATTTCATGAACATAAATACGAGATCAAGGATTGCCACTATATGAGAATGCACTTGTGCAGTTTAATGGATAATGTTGCTTAGAAAGCTTGTTATACTGTCAATAAGTGGGCATTGCTTATTCAGAAATTTTTGAACTAACGGTTATATATAAAATTCAAGTTAGCTGATTTTATTTAACATTCTCAAATATTTTAAATTAGAGCTCTAAAGAAACAAATGTAATCCGGTCACGATTGTTCTACTCCACATTGTGTGGATCCACTTATACCCATCGTAGAATTTCTCTTACTGTCCTTCCTGTGAAAAGCACAAGCCTAATGTGAAGAGCCGAAAAGCAAACATCTCTTCTTTGTTGCTTTTTCAAGTTTTTATTTATTTATTTTGCACATCCTCTAGGTATCCAGTGGCAATTTCAAAAGCCATTGTGGCCTAAATTCTTTCCACTTTATTCACATAAAGGAAAATTGATGTGCTATATTTTCCTTTGTTTTCTTTAAACAGTCAGAGATCAAGGAATTGGTGTTTTTTTTTCAGTTGTCTAATTTTTCTAATGAATATGCATTTAACTGCTGCAGACTCACGAAATAACCCCCAGCATTTTAGGGTTTCCACATACATTTCAGATAATGGGTACTGTGCACGAGAGGAAGGAGCCCTGGTGGTGTGATAGTTACACGTTGAGCTGTGATCTGCACAGTTGGCAGGTCACAACCACCACCAACTCTCCTGGGCTTTCTACTCCCTTAAACAGTTACATTCCCAAAAACCCACAGGAGGTCGCTGTGAGATAGCATTGACTCAATAGAAGTGAGTTTTGACTTTATGCAGAAAAATAAGAGAATTCTTCTACGTCGACTTGGTGGACAGCAAACTCTGATTTTCAACCACCACCAAGAAGAGGAGGTTGGAGACATGATGTATAAATCTCTACACAGAACATTAATAACTGACACTTTCACCTCAGAGAGTTGCTAAGAGAGTGACAGAGATAACAAATTTAAGTGCAAGTCAACAGTGTAATATTTAAGAGTTTGGCATTTCGAATAAGAAGTAGATACAATGTAGTTGTTGCATATAATCTTACCAAATTACCTAAACGCTCTGAATCTCAGTTTACCTTTCTTTAAGTTAGGGATAATAGGATAATACCACATTCCCAATATCAATTAGTCCATGCAAGATATTTAATGTAGTACCAGATTTACACACAATAGGAATTATTGATGAAATTGTTGTGATTCTTATTAATATTAAATAAGGAAGATACTACATAAGCATAGAGTTATGTTTCCAAATATCTAATAAGATTCTAACAGACCAGAAACTACATAGAAGCTAAAGTTGTAGCACAGTATTCTATTTACACTATTGATTATAAGTATAGCATGGTCCGTTTTATTTTTGTCCAAAAGGTATTCTTACTGCTGTCACGTTGATCCCCACGTGTGTAACCCTGTAGGTCAGAACAGAATCGTCCCATGTGGCTTCCAATGCTGGACTCTTTCCAGAAGCAGATCGGTACACCTTTCTCCTATGGAGTGGCTGGTGGGTCTGAACCATTGACTTTTTGGTCAGTCCCTAAGACCTTAACCACTGCACTGCCATGGCTCTTTAAGGAGGGATTAGGGAGAGTATTGACTTATGTCCTTAACATTTGAAGTCTTTTAGAGAAGATTTTCAACTATGCTATTCGTTTGATTTCCTCAGAGCTTACCTAGAGTTCCCCCCATTTCTCTCGTCCATTCCTACAGACTATGTCTATTTCATATCACAATGAAAAATGGACTGTGGCGTTTTGAATCATCCATCATCCTCCTAGAGAAATGTCCTCTTTTTCTTCTTCTTCTTCATCTTTGTCCACCCTCTGTTTTCATGGCACCGGCTTTTCTTCTTTTCGTTGAGTGGGTGGGAGGAGTGGTGTGAGAAGGGGAGGCAGGGAGGAGGCTGGGAAGAGGGCCAGGCAACGCTATTAAAATTAGGCAGATTGGACACGATTACAGAAAGCCCCATGCCATCTTTCTCTGGCCCAGTGGATTTAATAGCTAATGAGCTCATGCTCCCGTGTCTTCCACTCTTGCCATCACGACTTTACCAAAGTGAAGGTTGAAGTCCTTTGTGCATCTGGCATCTCTTTTGAAATGATCCTAACTGCTGAGGGCTTGCTAACTGGACCGAAGGCCGCGAGAAAGCCAATTTACTCAGCTGGTTTCAAAGCCTTTGACCCCAGTGGTGGGACTTGGCAAATCAATGCATACATGTATGTTTAGTGTTCTGTCAAGAATTGTGAAAATGCTCTCTAAGCCATGGGCCCTTCTGCAAAATACTAGTTTGTAGTTTAAACATTAGTCTTTCTTCAGAGGCCAATGAGGCTAGTTAATTAAGCCTGAGGGGTTATGAACTGTTGGCAGTTAATAAGTCATAAAATTCCTCCATAAAACAGGATGCGAGATTCCATCACTGAAGCAAAGAGTACAAAGAGCCGGTGTATAAATATCTAATTGTACCAAAGGACTGGGCTTTCTCAATGACTGCTCATCTGGAGTCTCCAGGGCATGCTCGCTGTGGTTTCCTGATTTTTTAGAAGCCAGTTTAAAAAATGAGTGCATTAAAGGGTAATTTGCCTGAAAGTTCAGGAAGTAGAGGGGGAGGTGTGGAAGCCAGCAGAAAGGGAGAAAGAAAAGGAGGGCCGAGTGAGAAGATAAAATGAGAAGGAGGGAGGGGTAAAAAGACAGGGAATGAGAACTCAGAAAGGTTGTCTCCACATGGACTTAGACCTGACTGTATCTGTCATCTGTTTTCTTTTCCCTGTAGGATGTTCACCATGGAAACGGTACACAGCAGGCCTTTTATGCTGACCCCAGCATCCTGTATATTTCACTCCATCGCTATGATGAAGGGACCTTTTTCCCCGGCAGTGGAGCCCCAAATGAGGTTCGGTTTATTTCTTTTGAGCCCCACTTTTATTTGTATCTTTCAGGTAATTGCATTGCATGATTACCCCTAATTTTCTTGTCCTTTGCTGGTGTTTTAAATTACACGAGATTACTGAACTGTCTCCCGGGACCAACAACCAGCGCCGAACAAGTGCATAACCCAGAGCGCTGGTTGTCAAGCACGGTTGGGCTGATTTGACATGTTGTTTGATGTTTACTTCAAGAGTCTCACATGTGTTTGTTTTCCTCTTTTCTTGCTTTCTCCCCTTTGCCTGCTTCTCTACCCGTGACGGTGTGCTGTCCTCTCTCTAGGTAGGAACTGGCCGTGGAGAAGGCTACAACATCAATATTGCCTGGACAGGTGGCCTTGACCCCCCCATGGGAGATATTGAGTACCTCGAAGCCTTCAGGTTGGTACACATTTCTCTCTAAAAGTGGGACATTTGAAAACATGGGCATTGAAGCCCATGGGATTTGGGATGGCATTGAAAACATCCCAGACAAAAGAGAATGGGAAGTTTCTAAGGAAGGTCAAGTGAAAAAAAAAAAAAAAAAGAGCTGATATGTCAAAGTTTCAAGAAATGGTTGCTTTTTTGTGACTATCATTGCATAGACACATAAGATATCTCTATAAGAAAAAGAAATCTGTCATGATCTAGGGTTAGCAACACAGGGATGCAAGGGGTCTTTAAACATTCATGGGAAAAAATGGAATGAAAAGATAGTGGAATTTCTCCAAGAACTTTTAGAAACCCTCTTGCAGGGCCCAGTGACACACATATGCTCGATTCCCTTCTCCCTGGAAAGATTTTATTATTAAATAGCTTAAGAAATTCTGTCTGTACAATGAACGACATGATGCACAGTAGATATTGGCATATTGCATGTTCCCAGAAGTCCTGCGCTACTTATTTAACGTTCTTGAATATGCATTTTACAAACATTATTGCAGCACAGAATTCTTTTTTACACAAAGTGCTCTTTAGCATTCTGGCCTCTGAGGAGGTAGGTCACTTTAAGGAACATTGGTTCAGGTGATCTCATTTTATGATACAGTAAATGATATTTGTATATTTTTCTTCTCTCACTAAAACATTAACTGAATCATTGGGTTTTATTTTTTTCAGTTCCACTACAAATGGTAGACCATGGATTCAATGTGTATTTTTATAGGTACACACTGTATTCTGCTTTGTTTTCCTAAACAAAGAACAATCAGAATTGATTTAAGCAAGAAATACACCACAGCCAAAGCTTTCATTTTAGAACTGGATATTTTAAAAGACATTCCTCCTCTGGAACTTAAAAAAAAAAAAGCATCCTCGGAATGACTTCTCTTTTAAAGAGAAATATGAGATTGTGTCAGTGTGTGCCTCACTTGCAAGATTCTTGAAGGACATCAGAGCCTACTGGAAATGCACAGTTTTGAATATCTTGGTAATAGGGAAAGTGAAGTAAAAAAGGTTAGACGTATTCGTAGTTTTAATTTTATTATTTGTAAATTGTCAAGGCTGGTATCCTTTCGCTAATTTGCTCGTATCCATAGTTGTCTCATTCGAGTATCATTTTTATTTCTCACTTGATACCAAGCCCCAGACAACTGATAAAATACAGTTTTGTTTTCAAAAATTGTATATTTAGAAGAAATACATTTGGCTTGGAATTACTAGATATAAGGGTAAGTCAAAAGTATTTCTATAAAGACTTGTCTTAAAACAAGCAGTCATCTAAGTGAGGTGTCAGCTAAGTCTACAGGGAAGAAGCACACCAACCTGTGTGATCCAAGGATTGTAAATAATAAAATCTAAATTCAGAGGAGGGAATGACGTCAGAGCTTAAATTCTGAACATCATTTTATAGACGGGTATGGGTGACAATGAACATACAAATACCATTTGTAGGGTCCCAACATGGACTAAGTCACTGGAGAGTCTCCCCTGACCAGAATCCAGGGATGCGAACAGACAAAAAAATTGTAAAGTCGATTATGGTATCGGTAGTTAGGTTGAAATGTAGCAACTTATCCTTTGATGATGTACCATTTGACCCTATTTAAAGTTGTTTCCGTTTTTAATATTTTCTGCTTTCTTTTCATTTGAGGATTTTCTCTGTTTTATTTTGTCTCTCTCTCTTTGCTTTAACTTATTTTGTCTTGTATGATTTTGGGTATGTGAAATCCAGGATAGGTAAATCTATAGAGACAGGAACTGGACTAATAACTACCGAGGGACATGACGGGGAAGGTTGAGGAGAAATGGAAGTTAGCAACAAGCATGAGAAACCAGAAAATGTTCTAAAACTGAGTGTGGTGATGACTGGACAACACTTCTTACTATGATTGAGCTATTGAATTGTGTGATTTGTGAATTATATGCCAATAAAACTATGTTTTAAAGTATAGCTATAAAATGATAGATTATTTTATTAAGCAAAATGTTATCAAAATGTGAAGTTATTATTTCACATGACATCCCCCATCTAAGTCTATACAATTCTGAAGGTAGTATTCCCATTTTTCTGACCCTTTCTCAAAGAATCCTGAGATATTTGACATATACACTGTCAAAACTACATCTTGAGTTCACCAGGGGCCTCAAATTGTGATTTTTTAAAAGTTCCTTGCATTTGGGGAAGAAAAAGAAATCTGAAGGGGTAGGTTTAGGGTTGTAGGGCCCATGGATGAGTGAACAGGTGTATGTATGGAAGTGATAGGGGAAAATATTTGCCATAGTTGCCTGGGTTTTTTTTTTTTGCTCACCAGTGCAGTTTTCAAATATCTTAAAACATCCTCACAATAAGCTCCCATTTTCCAGCGTTTGTCATGAAAATCAAAAATCTCTCAAGATTTTGGAATCTTTTGGAATAGTTGCTATAACCTTCTGAGGTGACTTCTCAGCCTTGAATTTCACTGGCTCAGCAGGTCCCTCAGAAACAACCAATTTGATTCTGCTTCTCGGATGAAGATAAGTGCATCTATCCACTGTTATAGAGACATGTTTAAGCATATTTGTGGGAGGGGATAAATCCTGTGTCCATGATCTGAAACCCTCGTAACAATACTTCTTGACTTACCGTAACACAAAGACAATTCTACCCACACACATGGATCTATAAGATTTATGGGAAAAATAGTTGACATTAGTGTATTTACTGTAAGGTTTGGGTCGTCTATGAAGATATTTAGCATCAATTAACAGTAAAACAAACTAAAAATGTATATTAAACAATAAAAGCATCAGATGTATGGATTATAAAAGCAAAAAACCCCACTCACTGCCATCGAATCAATACTGGCTCAAAGTGAACCATTAGGGATTTCCGAGACTGTAACTGTTTATGGCATTAGAAAATCCAATCTTTCTCCCAGGAGCTGCCGGTGGCTTTGAACTGCCAACCATGCAGATCACAGCCCAACTCATAACAACTACACCACCAGCACTCCCTTCTATGAATTATATTTGCCTATAATTAGAAATGAATAGACATTCATTCTTCAAAGACATTCTAGTATAATAATAGAATCCAAGATTTTATCAGCTATTTGTTTTTTGGTGTTTTTTTTCCCTGTTTTCTTTAAGAACCTGCTAACTTGCATCTCACATACACAGCAATCTCCTGAACCTACTGTCACAAAATGTTATATCCATCCATCTCCAATGCAGAATAATTGGATTTTTTTATGCTTGGAAGATGTGATGCTACTATATGAAGTACTCTAGCTCTCTATAAAAATATATTGCAGTAGCACAGCAGGGAAGCATAAATTGTTGTAAAAAACAACCCTTATTTTAAAATAGTTTCTCTAAACCATTTTTTATTAAACAACGTAAAAACCTATTGAGTGCACCTCCACGGCATTATTTTGTGTTTGAAATCGTCACATGTCTATGAAAGCGGCTAACTATCCTCAGCATTTGCAACTTTCCATGGCTTTGCATTGGACGACTTTGCTTCAGCAACCTTGTCTCAATTTCCTGGTGCACTCGCCTTGCCATATCTATCATGCCAATATTAGTGAGTTAAGCAGCATAAATGCATAAATTTAAATTGTGACTTTTAATGTTCACATTATATAAAAACCCTACTCAAAGAATAATAAATTTATTTATTTTGAACGATGCCATGTGTACTATGTGAATTAGTTCTGCATAAACCATCCATTCAAAAATATTTATTAAGTGCATATTATATGCCAGCTACCATGCTAAGCTGGTAGAATTCTCAACTGTCTTTGATCTCAGGTCATAAATGTTGTCATTATCAGGTGTATTCAAGATGATTCCAACTCATAGGGATCTTATGTACTAAAGGAAAAAGAAAAAGCTGCCTGGTCCCACTCCACCCTCAAAATTATTGTAATATTTGAGCCCATTGTTGCAGCCACTATGTAATCAATCTAGTTGAGGGTGTTCCTTTTTAAAAAAATGTTAATAGACCATGCATAGCATTCTTTCTCAAAAATTGGTCTCACTTGATATTATGTTCAAAGTAGAAGAAACAACATCTTGCCATCTTCACTTCCAAGAAACTTCTAGTTTCACTTCTTCCAAAACAAATGTGTATGTTTTACTGGCAGTCCATGATATTTTTAATATTCTTCACCAACAGCATAAATCAAATGCATCCGTTCTTCTTTGTTTTCCCTTATACATTGGCCACCTTTCACATGCATATGTGATGACTGAAAATACCATAGACTGGGTCAGGTATATCTTAGCCCTCAAAGTGATGCAACGCTTTAAAGAGGTCTTGTGCAGCGGATTTGCCCAATGCAGAACATCATTTGATTTCTTAACTGCTGCTCCCATGAGCATTAATTGTAAATCCAACCAAAATGATATCCTTGACAACTTCAATCTTTCTGTTTCTCAATGGTCCAGTTGTAACGATTATTGTTTATATTGAATTGAAGTTCTTGGTCATTCTAGTGTTCAGTAAGCAAGGTGCATTATTTGCATATCACAGGTCACTAGTCTTCCAGAGACGAAAAGTGCTTTGAAATAGAGCAAAATGATGATCTCTTCCTGGAGAGATTGGGAAAGGCTTCACCCAGTGCTGTTACACCTGTTACACCTGTACAGGGTTCTCCAAGGGGAAAAAGAACGGGGGAGGATAGCGAGCTCTGGTCTGATGCTGCTCCCCTGCTGCCAAGGCACTGGGACAAGGGACAGGAACTGCGGATCAGACTTCACAAGCTTTTCTGCAGGCGATTAATGTTCTTTGTAAACATAGAAACGCCTCAATATGCAGGGGCTTTAATGAGATAGACTTCCAAATAATTGTATATAGTGCTGTTTTATAAGCAGATCCTTATTAATACAGCCCTTGTTTTCCAGAGTCGACAAGAATAGATAGTTTTGTATCTGGAGCTCAATTTAGAAAAATGGAAATTGGGGAATAAAATAGGGGT